CATGGCATTCTGCAAGCAGCATGCTTAAGTGAGAGCAGGGAAAACCAAGCTGGACACTACAGTTTCAGCATGGTAAGCTTTACATTTGTGCATTTTTATGTCTTCCTGCCATTTTATTAGAATTGACGTGGGCAGCCCTCCCCCTCCTTCCTCCATCATTGGCTTTTACATATGGCTGTGGGCCTCAGAAACGAGAAAAACAGCTGTGGATGTGGACCATGCTTTGGTGGCTGCCTGCTGATGCCATCTTAGTTTTGAGTTTTACTTCAGGCCCCCATGTGAATGAACTCAGCATACAGAACGTGTGTTTTAAGCAGCACCTGAATGATACGTGCCTCTTTTCATTTGAGTGTTGAAGCTGTGTGCACTGGATTTAGATTCACCATGTTGTGATCTACAGTGCCAGCACTGAGCTGGGAGGTGGAACCCGTGGCCTCCTGAAGCACAGGGAAGAGTCAATAATGCCATTAATCCTGTTCCTGCAGAGTTTCCAGCTGGGCTGTTGTACCTCATGCAGCTTTGGTTCAAGCAGTGATTGGTGCCTTGTCAGGAGATGATCTATCTCAGCTTATTAAGTGGCAAAACCCAATTACACAGTCACTACACCATGCTGCATTCAGCTACTCTTGTTAGGAATTTCCTTACCAGTATGAAGACACAGTTTGTGCCTATCCTAAATACCCCCATGCTAGTAAATAGTAGTGCAAACAATATTTCTCTGCTGGCAAAGAGTTTCCTGTCGGCAGTAGGTTGAGGCTCTACCACTCAAGCAATGAGAGGCAATGCTGTGGTTTCTGTGCCACTGCAGTCAGTGCATGTGGAAAATGTTGCCTCTGTTGCTGAGTCACTAAATTGTTCCATGTCCTGGCTTCCATTAAGTAAACATCATGGTTCAGCCGTGGGAGCGATTTCTTGCTTCAGGCAATTTGGTGGCAGAGCCATTGAATAAAAGAGGATAATTTCTCTCCCTTCATCTTGCTTCCTTTCAGCTCTGACTCTAGAGAGCAGGATGCTTCTCCTCTGTCCCAGGAAGACGGGAGAGATGAAGCAAAATTGTTTTGGAGTGCAGATGAGTGTTGTCTTGCTGGGCTTGGGAGGATGCCCATGGCAGGAACACTCATGGTCCCTGTGCCTGTGGTAACTGCAAATCTCACTGATTGAAGTGGATTCACCATAATTCCTGTGACTCTGAACTGATGACCCTCAGGGAGGTTCAGTTTTGGGGGTGCTGTAATCGCAAAAAATGTGGCTAGAACTAGCAAAAATAAGTGGTGTGTTAAAGCTCTTTTTTTTTTTCCTTGCTTTTTTGTGTTGTTTATTTTTAGCAATCCTTAATTCTTTTGTCTTGGGAGGGTAAGCAAATGCTCTCTGGATAGACATGGTACCTGTGTGCAGTGGGTGCAGTTATATGCAGGATAAACTGTACTGTTTTATTAATTTTTGTCTAATTTTGCTGTCTTATGCTAATAAATGCATGTTATTTCTAATGTATCTTCCCACAACAATAGCTTCAGACAGTAAAACTCCATTCTAGAGATACATTTCTCTGGGGGTAAAAGAAGTGACAAAAGCATGGGGGAAAGTCTCGAGCATCTTTTCTACCCTTCCCACAAGGCAAGGGATAACAACCACCTGCTTGAGAAGCTCACTTACTTACAGCCTTGGGAATATGTCACAGTAGAGCAGGGATGAAAGAAGTGTCTCCATCCTCTTCTCATCTAATATCAGATCTTTGCTTTATTCTGGCTTAAGAAATTAATGTTCTCTCTACATATTGTATGTAGATTAGAACAAAGCCCATCCTTTTAGGGGAGGTTTGCATTTTTCCCAGTGTCCTAATTCACATTTTAGTGCTCCTCAAATGCTCGTTGTGTGAAATCCTCACTCACTTTAGGATGAAAACAACTATATTTCCTAATCAGCCCCAGGGCTGCTTAATAAATTATCACAAGTCTGTTAAAAGAAGCATTGTCACCTATTAAAGGCTGGCTGACTGGTTTTGTTTTTAAGCCCTAGGTTGATTCATGATTCAGCTTTTGTCAGCTAATTTATTCTGGACCATTTAGAGAGAGAGCAAAAGTAGTTTGGGAAAGGAGAAGAGCAAATTCTCCTATTAAGTCTTAATTTGAAATACAGGCCTGGTGTCTAATAGTGTGTTGTCTAAAGCAGGGAAGTGGTAGATTATTAAAAACAGTATCTCTTTACTCATTAGTCTCCTTTCTAATAGAGCAAATGTTGTGATGTCATTGTTCTCCTGTTTAACAGCTATATGTGCCACAGTGGTGCCCAGCACTTACCACAGAGGGCAGGGGGCCAGACCAGGAGATTTCCTTCCCTGGGGTGGGGGAGGTTTTGGCACATCTTGTACCAGCACATGGCAGAGCAAGCAGCAGTCTTTAGAGCTTCCACACAGAATATGTCTGAGTGATGGAGGATGCAGGACCAAAGATTTTTTATTAGATGTGGTTCCTTAGGGATAAAGATACCTGCAGTGTCTTCAGTCCTAAAAGTTAGCCTGGCAAGGGTAATATTGTCCAAGAATTATACAAGAGTTGGGAAAACCTGTTTTATACAAAGTTAACTGCTGCCACTACTCCAGCTAGCCTGGGGTACAGAATATTACCTAGGCAGAGCTCATGGGTGTAGCTTGTTTAGGAGGAAGCCTGTCTGAGCAAAGAGGAGCTTCTCTTGAGTCTTCTTGCTGAAGTTTCATCAGGGAGGGAGTATCTGGTTAGGAAATAATATTTTTGAGTGGTAATTTCATAGTGCAGAAGAAAATCTGGAAGGGGAGGTGAGTCTGAATCTTACTGTCAGTCATTTGGTAGGTGCACATGTGTTGGACAGGTGGCAGAGAGGAAAATTGGGCAGCTCCAGCATCAGGTCTGTCACTGCAGCCTGAGCTCAAAACCTGCATTGCTGATGTGCTCAGTGTGCTGGAGCTGTTCCCCCACCAAAGCAATAAGATAATTGGAGAATGCTGCTTTTTAAGACTCTCATTGTGGAGGTTTTACATCTTGCTAATACTGAGTATGAGATCATTAAACAGGCAGCCATCCTGGCTCTGTAGGAAGATTCTATTGCTAATTGACAATGTATTTTAATCTACATAAAACTGGTTGAACACATAAGCAGGTAAAATTTTACTTCCTGATAGCTGACAAATCCCTCTGTTAGGTGATAAGGACAGTTAAAATCCACAATATTTTGGTCATAGGTGTGACTGAAGGATAAATTCCAAGGAATGTCCAGTAAAAAACAGAAAGAAGTCCACACAAAGCATTGTGAATTCAACTGCAGTTGATTATGGTCATTCTATAAGAATAGACTCTACTACAAACATATTTCTGTTAATGTGGGTAACATGAATGTAATTTATGTCTATCTGTCCATCTCATAAACTTCATAATGCTCCACATTATTCTTTATGTTGCAAACTCTGACATAGTTTCTGTTGACTTCAAAACAAGGCTGTAATGGTTTCTAGTCAAGATTCACAGGCTACACCATAATACAGTTGTCAGCATGAGATACCAGAATTTTGTTGATTCCTTCCCCGTAAGAAACTAAATGGAATGATCTTTCATCAGATTTACATCTGGCCAGGAGTGTGTAGCACTCTCTGAAATTTTGTCTGACTTATCTGAGAGTTTGTGCTTAGTTCTGCTCTGGGCTCTGTGTATTTGACCCTCCATGTGGCAAATTAAATAACTGGATTCCCAATTATGGCTTTAGAAATTCTGGATGTCATGTGTGCCTCCCTGCACTGAGAGAAAATTCTCCCAGGACATTCAAGGATCAGCAACACACTTAGTCAAAGGGAATATTTGAGGCTTTTTCTGGTCTGGTAGAAATACTAATCTATTTAGAGTTAAAAGAAAAGCTGAGAAGAAATTACCAGGCGTAAAGTTAACCTTACCAAGCAATTTTATCTTCCCTGAATTCCCAGTTCCAGAATATCTCACAAGGTAGAGTGTTCTTGGCAGCCTGCTTGCAGGGTTCTGCAAGAACCCTGCTTACCTGTAGCACATCATCAACCCAATAATGGGTTAATAAAGGGTCAGAGATAGTTTTCAACACTTTTGTTATCCTGAATTTCTAATTGTTTCTCTCAGTCTTTCCTCTTTACCTCTTGGCTTTCCATTTCCAATAAAACCTGGTCCTTTTTCCCCCAGTTAAAAATAATAAGTGCCTTTGAGAATAATGCTTCATGTCACCCATGCTGCCCCTGCAAGGAAAAATCAGCAAAAAGAATTTCAGAGCTCCTTGACCAGACAAACGACTGTGAGATTTGTGCTGATGCCCCATGCTCCCCAGTCTGCTGATTTTAGGATCTGTTGGGTTAAAAGTGCTTTCACCAGGCATTTTTCTAAGCAGTTCAAGGAAGAACCCGACCTTCTTGATAATAACAAAGAGCAGTTCACATGTTGGATTTCTTCATTTTGCTTACAAGTAACTTGGTGTTATGGCATGAATAGAAACACCTTTTTCAAGAATTGAAGAACAATCTTAATGGTCCAGCATTGGGATTTTTGGGGGGGTGTGTGTGTTGTTTTTTCCTATTAAAATAAATGCAGAGAATAACAGTATTTTTTCCCATGTGTTTTTTTTTTATTACTTAGCTGTTGTATGTTTAGGACAGCAATCTAACCAAAAGTATTTGTTTATGGTTTACTTGTTTCCCAATTTTCAGTGATAAGAAGCTCAAAACTGGCACTCCTGATTTGTATTTCTGCCTTGCAATGACTTGTGTGCTTCAGTTTGTGTGTCACCTTCCTGTCCTGTTTTCTTACTGATGATTTTTTTACAATTTTTTTTACTCTTTTCTTAGGAAAAAACACCAAACTTTTATGCCAGTTTTGTGTAAGTAGCCCCTGAGACAGTCTCTTAAGTCTGTAGGCCGTTCTTCAGTGGCTTCCAAACCATTGCTAGATTTAGCTTTTGTCAAATCAGACTCTGATGGTAATTTCAAAATCACCCATACAATTTGTTTTGACTTTCAGGTAGTTTGATATAAATATACCCAGTGACTTTGTGGCTCCAAACTGCAATTATTCAGGAAGCTGATTCTGCAGCTGTGGTGGATGCATCGCCCAGGACCCAAGGGCCTTCAATCACCAGGAACATACATGACTGCCTCTCCCAAGGAAGAAACAAAGGAGAAACCTTTATTTCTTGTGTAGCTGGAAGGAAAAGCAATACAATCTTGATACCCAGTTAATTTCAAGAAGCATTTTTCAAAATACCTCTTGACTGTGAGGATCTTGTAACTCTGCCACAAACGTGCCTTTGGACTTGTGCAAATAAATCATTGGAGTATTGATTGGGCAAAGTGGTCATTGCTGGAGTGACTGTGGCAGGATCATGACAAAGCACTTGGAGATCATCAATTTGTCATTTTTGTTGGAACACGAAAGGGAAACAATATTGGGAGTATTGAAGAGAGATGAGTACTTGAAAAAAGTTGAAGATAAAAGAATCAGGTAACCCTTTTTGTTATTGCTTTTGCATATGTGGTTGGTAGATGTTTTTGTGGTACCCACTGGAGGTTTTCTGTACGCCTCATGCAACGATGAGTGCTGTGAGATGACACAGGTAATTGTAAGTTCAAGTGTGTTAAAAAGAAAATTGCTTGCTAATGTGGTTCTCAGTAAACAAAAATCATGTCCATTGCTTCAAGACAAAACTATAGAAAGATAACAAGTGCAAAAATACGCAGCAGTGTTTCTTAAATTTCAGATTATGTAAATTTAGTCTGATTTGGCTGAATTTCCCCCTGTAAATGGAAAGTTTTAGGAAGGCTCTACCTCTGAGAGGAGCTGCACAGAGCCTGCCTTCAGAGCTGACTGAGGGACAGAAGTTTGGAAGGTGTCAGAGGGACAGAAAGTTGGCATCTGCCTCTGTTCAGGACTTCCTACAGCATGGGACCAATGCATGATGGTGTCCTTCTTTCTGTTGTGGGCCTTACAGAATAGGGAGGAGGGACACTTCATTTTTCAAATTACTTAGAATTATTAATAAATACAATTTAAAATCTCAGGTATTTTTCTCAAAAGTCACTGCTGGGAGAAGTAGAGTCTCAGAGTGTTAATAGAGCCCATGTGTTCTTTTTCTGCCCAGAAAAGTAAAAATCAAAGTTGAGAACAATGCGAGGAGGCAGGCTGAGTCAGCAGTTTTAGAAAGCTCAGTTTGAATTAGCTCAGCTAAGTATCAGTTCTGGAAAGGTCCCTTTGCTTTTCAAGGATGGTTTGGCTGCCTCATTTCACTTCCCCCCCGTTGCTCTTTTGAAGTTTCATACGGTGTTGGTTCTGAGAGGCTTAGTGGGGATGGATGCAGCACTGGGTGTTGGTGAGGGTGTTGAATATAACAAGTGACAGAGGGAAAATTTCCAGCCTTTGCTGGTTTCTGTCCATGAATCCCAAGGCCAGGCTGCATTGTTCTTCCCTTTGATTTTCTAAAAACATTTTAGGCACTGTGCAAAGAAATTTTAGACATTGAAAAGGTGTATGTTCAGCACCATCAGAAGCTTCTACTGTTTAAAATCATTATTTGAAAATTAATGGAAATTTAATAATTTGAAAATTAATGGAAATTAATTAATTAATTGATTTCCACTATTTGGAAACCTATGCAGAGTTAGGCACAGGTTTTGAAAGCTTTTCTCTTTCAATTGAACCCAGTCTGAGTGCAATGCCCCTGTTGGTGTGCAGCCCTGGGGGAGCACAGTGGCTCATCTGGAAGGAGGGGGTGAAAACTGGCTGCTTCTGCTACTGCCAGACTGGAAGAAAAGGTGTTTCTTTTAGGTGGTGTGGGCAAATTAATAATTTTGTCTCCTTAATGGTTTGTGAGATGAAAAAGAAAACAGATGGAGCACAGTTTGTTCCAGAGCATTCTGCTCTGTTTAGTAATAAAATAAAAATTTCAAATAAATTATTTTGGTTTCCTGAGGCCATGGCCTTGGAAATGTGTGATGTGCCAATAATCATCTGTAAGGCATCAGTATGGAGTGTATCAGATCACTGGATTCTTGAAGCCCCTGAAAGATTTTTCTGCTATTGTAATTTCCCAAAATCTTGAGGTTTTGTGGGGTTTTCTGCTTAGTTTCATTTGATTAGCTTGGGGTTTCTTTTGTTGCTGGTTTTTTTTTTTTTTTTTTTTTTTTAATATGACGTCTTAACCCCCCAGATTTTCCTTATGGCACTGCTGGAATTCACTCTGCCAAATCTGCTAAGTCTGGAAACTTGCAGCAGCCCTGGAGGGGACAGTTCAGCACAGTTCAGTGCAGTGGCAGGTGGTATTGGCTTATCAGTATTTTGGTAAAAAAATACCCTAAGAAAATACTCAAAATCAAGCTAATCTGAAATAAAATGTTAATTAGAATAACTAATGATGCAATGTGGTGCTCATGCATATTTCTAGCACCTGTGTATGAACCAATGGGCTTTGTATTTATTGTCACTACACCATACTTTGTCTGATAACAATGGAATGTGGTCTATAAAAGATTTCCAGAATATAAAATCTATAAAGAATTAGACAGTTAACTGCTTCCTATGAGACTTTTTATTTTTTTTCTTTCTCAGTACAATTTGGCATGAATCTATAATCATGGCTTATAAGCACACTTCAGGGGAACATTTGTTCTCTTTAAAATTCCATTTGGTACAATCTGTTATATACTTTATTGAAGTACTTTGCTGAAGAGCAAGTCCCTTTTTATTTATTTTGAAGACATTTTCCACTTTGGGAAGATGCTTACTTGTACATTGTAGTGAGGAATTCTTATTATCCTGTTCCACTCTTTCTGAATCCATCTTGATAATTGTTTTTTTTATTTTTCTCCTCCTTTAAGTTTTCAAAAGCCCTTGCAACTTAAAAAGACCTTCCTATTCATTTTGAAAGCAAAGGTAAATGCGTGAGGATGTTCTAATAATAAAATTGTTAAGGGTTGTTTTTACTATGGCTGCTCATACTCGTTTTCTGGAGTGCAGGTGGCTCTTCTGGTGTTTTTGTTTGATGCACAATTATTTCACTCACATGAGAGAGAAACACAGAAGTCATCAAGTTCATTTTCTGAGTTCTAGTTTTGATAATACAAATAACCTCTTTAATAAAGATTATGATCCATATTCATAACTCTTAAGTGTGCATCTTGCATGACTGGATGTTTTCTTTGAATATTGATTTGAAACTGTTAGTAGATTAGTTGTACAAAAAACCTGCAGTGCTCTAAAAATTGCTTTATAATGCTTTTTATGTCAGTTGAATTACCATCTTTTTTTAAATTACTAAGATTATTCGAGTAAAATCAGTAATTCTTACCTTAACTATTTCCTTGGGGTTTAAATTACAAAGTTCCTTTCCATTCTATATGGACCACAGCTACGAATGCTATGCTTTTAGAGGAGCTAGAGTAATAATGGTTGTGCTGAGAAAATTGCAGTTTTGTCCAAAAAAAAAGTTTTAATGGGTTCTTGTTTGAACCTCTCTGTCAGCATTTAGGTTGCCAGAGGTTGTGTAAGAATTGCACCAACCCCAGATCTGTACTGACAAGGAAAGTTAGCATTCCTGTCTTTTCATCTGGCTAAAATGACATCTTCTTATCAGTCCAAAGAGATCCATGGAAACCATTTGTGGTATTAACTTCATTATAATACAGGAGAAATTGTTAGCATGGATACCACCGTGTGGTAGCTACAGGCAAGTACTTTAGAAAAGCAGAAGTTTGAGGACTGGGAATGGGAAGTGATTTATCTGTTGAGTATACATTTGGACTTGTTATAAACACAAAATGGTTGCAGGATAACATATGTAATATGGTGCATGGGCTGTGTTCCTGTACCACTGCTGATAAATATTTGAAGGAGAAAGACCTCTGTTAAAGCACATTGGCCATCTGTACCTGGAAGCTGCAAAGTTCCTGTCTGGCAGCCCTGTCATTTGTGAGGTGTATTTAACACAGTTTAGCACACTGCTATTTTTTGAATCAGAGACTTTTCCATCAAGGGGAGTTACTATTGCCAGAGTTCAAAGGGCAGAGGTGCCTGTTTTCCTGTCCTGTGCTCTTTGAGAACCACGATCCTGCAGTGGCAAAGGAATTTCTCATGGTGATTAATTTTCATATGCTGGGAGAATCTGTTTTAGTAAGAACTAGCAAGAAACCAACAGGGGATCTGTGGGGTTTTTGGGGTTTGTTTGCTTGTTTGGTTGGTTTTTGTTTGTTTGTTTGGGTTTTTCCAATATTTCTTTCCAATCTTTCCAATCAGTAGCCATTTTTATTTGAGAGGACAAGTAAGTTACCCTGAAAAATTTCATCCATGGAAGTTTGCCATTGTTGTGATAGCCAGTATAATTTCAGTTCCCATGCCTCCTTTTCTTCTTTTCACTGGGCTCTCTTTTATCACTCCTCATTCCAGATCTCTTTTTCTCTTCAAATTCATTCTTTGCTTGTTTCCTTGTGTTGTCATCAATGTGCCTCCCTACTTGGGTGCTCTTAACACAGTTTTTATCATCTTAATCTGTTACTTCAACAAAATGTGAAAACCAGTGCTTATTAAGTAAGTATAAATAATACTTCAGGTACTCATGTTTTACAATTCAAGGAGACCTCAATGGAAGTTGGTAATAGCCCAGTCCTTTTTGTGAACTCTCAACAATATTTACTGTTATTTCCTGCATACTGTGCCAGACAGGGAAGGGAATCTGGCTGAATTTTGAGAAGGTAGTGAGAATCAGTCTGGAAAGAAAATTGCCCTTCTTCCTCATATTCAAGTATGTTGATGCTGGTTCCTGCAAAGAAAAATTCTCTAGTTCCTAAGTTAGCAGCTGCACAGATTCAGAACAAGGATATTTCTATTCAACTGTGCAAAAGCAATTCAATTTTTTTTCCTGCCAAACTCTTTAATTATAATTGACTGAGGAAGGGAGAGGGTTGACCTTTTTTATTTTTAATTCAATTTTTTATGACCCGTGGAACTCTGGAAATTTGGAATGGCAAAATAAAATTAGGTATACTTGGATTATGCTGTTCTACATCTTCAGAGGAAAAAAGGTCTTGAAATGGGGAGAAAGAAGATCCAGGAAAAATTTGAAAATCAAACTCAGGAATTATGTATGCTATTACATTTAACAGTTTGTTTGGTTTTGTTTTTTTTAGTAATAGAGAGGAGGTGAGGTAGAAAAAAGTACAAAATAAAATTTTCTAAAATCCTACTGAAATAGAAAAAAAACATCCAAACCAGTCAGTTTGGTATTAAAGGGAAAGTTACCTAACTTGAAGCAAGTGGATAATGCTTACAGAGTTAAAGGAAATTATGGCATTTATTTAAGTAAATGGCTTGGGCAGAGAATGTCTTTCCTCTTGCAGCAGTATAGCTATTTTACTTTTAAGGGATAAATATTCTTTAGGGTAAAGCTTACTTTTAATATAAAATGGATCTGGTAAAGCTTTTCATTGCTCCCTCTTTGCAGTGTTATAGGGGTTTGAGAATATTTCATCTCCTGAGGCTGTATTTGTGAAGGAACAAGGACCTTTGCCTCATTGCTTTCAGCATCCATAGGGAAGGACCTGACTTCTTTGGGGATTCCTGTGCTTCTGGCAACTGTGCCAAGAGCTGTGAATTCTGGAGTCGGTTTCTTTGGTTGGGTTGTTTTGTTTTGTTTTGATTCCTGTTTTTACGTTGGCCTTTTAGTCCACTTTTGGAAAGGGTCAGGTTGACACATTCAGTGTTACTTGGAATCCTGGTTACAACAGAGCTCTTCTCCAATGTGCTTAACATATTTTCTCAGACAGTAGAGGGATCTTAATATAAATTCATAGTTTAGAAAAATGGCTACATATTCTGATATACTTGGCAGAATCAAATTTATTTTTAATAGCTGTCTTTCATCAAACAGCCATTCTAATAAAAGGTTTAGAAACTCCAATGAATTATAGGATTCTTTTTCTCAGAAGCCTATTAAATTGGCTTCTGCTGAGTTTTATTTTCCCTTTCATATTACTAGGACAAGATTGATAAAGATTAATTATGGTTTAATATTTGTGATTAAAAATATCTAACTCTGTCTTTAAATGTATTCCTTTAAAATTATGGAGAGTGCAAATGTTAGACTGGCACAAGGAAATTGGGTGTTTATAATCCAGCTGGTTCCTGCCCTGGGAAATAAATGTAGTGGTAAGCCAGTGCAGCTACAGGCTGCACTTTTATCCCTTTTCAGCCCAGTGAAAGCAGTGCAGCTCAGCTGTGCTTGGTTAGGAATTGTTATGATGATGGATTTTTTCAAATTACTCACCCACCTTCTCATGCTTTTTCTGGCCCTTGAGACAGTCCATTTTTTATTTTCTTAAGATATTAATATATTTGTTGCAGTCAATCGAAATTCAGCTCAATAAATAATATGGGGAATCTCAAATGAGTGTTCATATCCAGTGGATCTGTCCATGCACTCTTTGCTTCTTTTTAAAATTTTTCTTTCTTATTTGTTTAATTTAGTGGACTATCTGTGGTTTGATTTATTTTCTCTCAGTTCTCTGGAAGTCATCAATGGCAATTTATATTAAAAAATAAGAAAACAAACACTTCTTAGAATTTCCATTGTTAGTAGATCAGTTATCACCTGACAAGAATTTTAGATTGTGTTTCACACAAGCACTGGAAAATACTGTTGCAATCACCACTACTGAAGAGTAGGAATAATGTCTTTTTATGTCACAAGAACATTGATACGTTTTTCAACATGTTAATCTCTAAGCAAACTATCAAAAAAAAAAATGCTCTGTTTACTGTTTTGGGCCTATAGACATTTCCCAATTTTAAATTGGAACTATTTAAAACAGATTTTGTGCTAACTAAGCACAAAAGGGTCTGAAAGTTGAAGTGGGGAGGGAGAAGGCTGGAGTGGAAGGAGTTCAGTGGAGACTGTTTCACCATTAGACACCTGGATGCAGTGCACAGGACACAGTGATTATTACCAAAAACTTGGCAACTGCCAATAACTGCATGCCAAGTTCCTGAATGCAATGGGTCATGATTAATTTATTTTTTTTCAGTAAAAATAAGCCACTGAAAATAAATCTGTTATGAAAAAATAAGCCTTTGCTTGTGCATAGTATTCTAACCCTTGTGAGATTTGAGGATTAACAATATTCATCTTCTGAGTTACTCTGATACTTGGATAAGGATCAGGTGCTTGGTTTGCATGCAAATACTGAAGTGCCAAAAGAAACTGGAACTGAATTATTTGTGCCTCTTTAGTTCTGTGGTATGAGATGAACCAAATCATTGCAAACCTGAATAAAAAGTGAAAATGAAGTTGTCTGTCAAAGACTCTCTGTTGAACATTCCTTGGTGGTTCTGCTGTATAAAAAGTCACAGTTTTGACAGGAAACCATGGAAAAAATGAGATAGAGAATGACCAATGATCAGGTACAGAAGTGGTGGTCCAGTTTGGCAATCAAATTGTGTGAGATGAACAGGAGAACACTGTAATTGAGAAAATGGAGGCTAAAGGAACGCAAGGAAAGGTATGGGCCTGCTGCTGGGTGGGATAGAGGATCCAGTGACAAAGCGTGTGGAAAAGGCCAATGTGCACAACATCTTCTTGGCCTCAGTCCTCACAGGTCAGACAGGTTTTCTGGAATTCCAGCTCCTGAGGTCATTGCAAAAGTCCAGGGCAAAGTGAATTTGAACTGGAAAGTGCTGCAATACCTCTCACTGTGTGAAAGCACAATCAGTCTTTACAAATTTCCCTAAGGTCAGCTGGTACTCAAAGTGGCCATGTGGCAGAGCACTTTATCTCAGACAACTTCACATTGCTGGAGGGGTGACAGTAAATCATTAAACATTTGTGAATGTTGTTTGATGTTTAGTGAGATGTGAGTGACCATAAACTCAGTGGTAATTAGAGGTCTTCACAAGCACCTAAAGGTGTATTTGTTATTCAAGCAGATAGATGTGGTGTCTCTTTTGAAAATGCTGTGGTCAAGAATGTGTTGGTGGTGGGTTGTCTTTAGTGCTCAGTCCAGAAGAAGCAGATGAGTTTTGATGTTTGGAGAGTAGATCCAAGGACTGGGCTGGCAAAAATAGGGATCATCTCCCTTCTCTGTGCACAGTGGCAACATCCAACACCACTGTTTCACAGCACAGCACAACACTGTCTGCATTTGGAGCTGACTCACAGAAGGAAATGGACACGTGCCTGGCACTAAAAGCATCTCTGCAGGAAGTGAGGAGATGTAAGATGCAATCAATAAACTGCAAGAACAGTTAGCAAAGTACCAAGAAAGCACCTGAATCCTGGCCAGACTTTTGAAGGCTCGGGCATGAGAGAAAGGCTGTTTGGATTGGATGTGGAGAAGGGACTAAAGCTGGATGAAGCACTCACTTCTGGAAAGAGGTGAGGAGAGCAGAGGAAAGGCCTTGACTGGGATTTGCAGCTGCTGCCTGGAGGGATTGGACATGCCCTTTTCTAGAGCTGTCAGAGGCTGAGCAGCCGCAGGTCAGGCGGCTGCAGAGCAGCTGCTGTTCAAGGGATCCCAGTGGGAAGCAAAATGCTGGCCAATCTTTTAGCAAGCCAATCTTCTATCCACAAATAACCTAATTCTGTCAGAGCTGACTCCCTGGTGGCCCAAGCAGTGTTCCTGGCCTCCTTTACTGGGCTGCAATCTGCAATCTTTCACTGATTTTATCTTCCATGTGGTTTTCTTCTGGCACATTTTTTCTGATCTTTAGGTGAAGGTGGCAGCAGGTTTATAAATCCTCCCCTTGAGCATCTATGTTTGTACAGAGATGGTGATTTCAGTGAGCTGGAATGCTTCATGTCTGAGACTCTGGGGGCTCCTGGCTGATGATGGGTATGAAAGACAGCATAGGGAAGGGTGGGGTAATGGGGACACAGCAACACCCAGGCATATAAAACTGAAAGAATTTAGCAGCCACTGAGTTTAGTTGCATCTCACAGTTGTTTTCTTGTTAAGGACCCAACTCATTGGCCATTGAAATTGCAGACTTCAAAATTTAGTCTTAAACACAAATATTTTTATTCTGTAAAGTTGCTGGTAGAACTGGTAAGATCTGCAAGTCACACATTTAAACTGGCATTTTCCTTTTTTACTTTGCTTGTGTCATCACAGCATAACACCACTACCTATTTAGATCTTTTGGTTTGGGCTCTTTTAAGGCTTTGATTAACTAGTACAGAATTGCATATATACTCCTACCTAACTCTGCACTGGCATATTATTAAATGCATACTAACTGTAGAAAATATTTTATTCTTTTCCTTCTGTGCATGCACTGGATAGTCTCAGTTCTGAGTTGCTGTAAATGTGGGCTAAGCATGACTTGAATTATTGATGAAGGACAAGCAAAGATGGTTTATCAGTTATCCAGAACTGCTCAGCTCCCTGCATTTACTCATAGTGATCTACCAGATTTTCCTCTTGACTGCATGTCTGACAGCTGGGGAATAGATTTATTCTGTGTCCTGTGTGTGTCAAGAAATACAGCAAATGCAACAAAAAAAAAAAAAAAGCAATTACTCATGTCTTGTATTTTTAGCATAAAATGTTAATCTGTTAATAAGTTCTTACAGATCATTGAGTTGGAACTCCAAATGAAAATTTTTTTTTTTTTTTTTTTTACTTCTAGGAAACTGAAAAATGAGCTTCTGGAAGTGAGAAGGAAAGGTGGAAACCACCACTCTCAGCAGGAGAACAGCAGGGTCTGTGTTCGCTGCCAGAAAAGCCTGGGCTTCATTTTTGGCAGGGGAGAGCCGTGCCAGAGCTGCAGGCTGCGGGTGTGCAGCACGTGCCGCGTGCTGGGAGCCGAGGGGCACTGGAAGTGCTCGGTGTGCGCCAAGATCGCGTAAGTGCGGCAGGTTTTATTCCCACGTGTTCTGGTTTGAAAGTAAAACTAATGAGAGTCTTTAAGTCAGAAATACAATTTATTGGGAAAAGGGGAAAAAAAAGACAAAAATACATGCAGTGATATAAAAGGAAGACTACTGACAAAGTCATAATATAACCTGACCCCCCTCTGGCCAGCGTGCTGGTAGCAGTCCAAATTGGAGTGGCTGCAGTCCTCTTGGAATGGCAGATGTGGTTGGTGCATCTTCTCGGAAACGTGTGGAAAGGCTGCCTCTCTGTCTAGAAATCCCCGGTTTTATCCAGGTGGGAATGCCTGGCTCCTCCTCTCTGGGCGGAGCAGCTCACAATGGGTTGATGTTATTCTGAGTCACCTGTCAAACAGAACTGGCTCCTGGAGAGTGTTATCTCTGAGTCGGGTGGCAAGACATTGATGGGCCTATTAACAGGAGATAAGGAAAACTGCCCAGAGGCAACTGCTGCTCAGATGGTAATAGGAAACACCTGGCAGTGATTTTGTGCTACCATTGTGCATCCCCTTACAGAAAATTCACAAGGGGAGAGGATTATTTGGGGGTTTCATTTGCTGCAATATCTCTTTTCCCAATACCAAGCCAGTTTCAACTAGCTTATTTTCCAAAGACTTGGAAGAATAATTAACTCGATTAGTTTGGTAATACGTTTTTTTTTTGTTTGTTTGGTTTTTTTTGTTTTTTTTTTGCTTGATTTGGTAAGATAACCATGAAGGAAAGGAGAAATATGTTGGGCAACAAAATTCAGTTATGTATCCTGGTGTAAGGACTGGATAATGTAAGAAAGATATGTGATAAAAAAAGAATTTGAGGGATTTTTTTTTTTTTAACAGACCTTCAAACTAATGAGATCACGAAGGGAGGGCTTTCTGTAAATTGTTTCAGGAAGTAAACCCAAATCACTAGTTCTGTCAAGACTTTGGCTACCTAGACAATCAGTGACAAATTACCACAGCAGGGCACAGAGTTTAGGGCAGTGTCTCACCTCTTAAGACAAAAAATGTTTACGTGTTTGATTTGTGAAATGATTTTAAATTGGTAGGAGCCTGGCTGAGGTCCCTGTACTTTACCTCAGGCTGTTCCTGAGATAATGTCAGTGCTGTGCCTTTCAGAAGTGCTGGGGTGTAAGTGAGGTGACAGCATGGAGAACAGCAAACACAAGGCTGTGTTCATTTAAAAATGAAGAAAAGAAAAAGGGATTTGTTGACCCTGCCACATTACCTCCAATTTCTCTAAAAACACTGAAACAAATGGTAGCTCTGTTGTTTGAAAGATGAGACAAGGTGACAGGATGAGGAGCAAGAGCTGGCTCAAGAACAAATAATGTCAAAATCAATTTAATTTCCACCTTTGATAGGTGACAGAGGGGGATTGGTTGCTGTCTTATAACTTGGCTGAAGTTAACCTTTTGATACTCTCTTTTGTTCCTTTCTAATAGGCTGACAAATTAGGGTAGTTGTGCCCTGGAATAAATTCTGCCAGTGTGATTGCAGACCTGACTGGAAAATTGTACAGCTCTGTTCTCAGCATAGTTATGGACATTTCACTGTCAAAAAAAACTTAAGAAAACAAAGCCCAAAACCCCCAAACAAACAAAAAAATAATAAAAAAATGTGCCACACATACAAGCCAAAAAACCTTTTTAAAAACCCCAGTGATATAGAACAGAATATTTCTTGGTTGATTACTGTTAGATATTTTAGTTAAGGACCTTGATACAGCAGATGAATTTTCCAGTTACATCTGCAGGAGACATAAAACTGAGAGGTGCTCCAGGCATGCTCAAGGGCAAGACTGGGTTTCAAAGTGATGCTTAGAAATTAGAGAAGTGGTTTGAAGGTAAAACAAGTGATGGCTCCCTATGGGCATGTGGAAGTGCTGCATTTGGGAAAAAATGCAGCTGCAGAAATCTAAAATGAGAATACAAACAACTTCTGCAGCTGTTCCTTAGGAAAGTATCTGGGTATTGTACTGGATAAAAGCTGAACATGAATCAACAGAATTTTCCACGGCAGAAAAATTTAACATCACACAATGATGTACAAGCCAAATTACAGCCTGAAAAATACATGATAAAATCCTGTTTTATGTAGAGTACCTCGATTCTGTGTATCAGAATTCATATTGGGCACCTGGAGAAAGTTGAGCAGAAAGTAATGAGACTTAGCACACAGGATGTCCAGAGCAATAAAAGGAGTTCACAAGTGTTCAGCCTAGGCAAGACAAGACTGAAAATACCTGAGTTTTAAATCTACAGAATGTGGCTTACAGGTTGTTCTAAGACCCCTCTTTGGGTAAGAAAAGTAATGTGATACTTAAATTGCAGTGAAAGGATGTAATTTAGATGGCATGAACACTGACACAACTTGGAAGGGTTGCAGAATGTTGTTTTACAACAGGTTGGATAAATCTCTCTTGGGGTGATGACATCAGCAAAGGTGTTCCTGTTCTGGGGCTGAGAGAGGAGTGAGGCCATGTCTCAAAACCTGTGTGACCTCTGCTTCTGCTGGTTGTGCCGCAGTTCTTGTCCCAAGCAGTGGTCTTAGCAACCACCTGGACAATTAACTCTGGTTGAAGCCTGCCTTTAGAGTCTTACAATCCATGGTGTAATTTGCTAGCAAATTTTCAAGCGCTTTTCGAGTGCTAACTTTGTGCTGAACTTTTCAAGTGCTAACATTTTGTCCATGTTGAGAATCTTTATTAAATTGAAAGCTCTCTCTCTCCTTTATTTTTGTTCATATGCAGTGTTTCTGCAAGACTTCATGACAGCTAATGATATGTAAAATGTCTTTTACATTGCTGGGAGTACACGGAGAGATAATCTTCTGTGTGGGCAGTGTGGAGATGGAAGTTTGGGAAAGGCATTTCGGTTACATCATTGTGCATAGTTCTCATTTAAATTATTTCAGTTCTGCTTTTCTACCAAGTGAGAAATGCAGGGGGAATCAGAATTTTTAGGCTTTTAAAATTACATTTGATGGAGGAACTGATTAATTTAATAGGGCCTTTGACAAGATAAAAAGGCAAACATCAAGGAAGAGAAAATAATACAGTGTTAAGAGACATTTATGCTATATAAGTAGCAAACAAAAGGCAGGAAGAGGAGAAAAATCTTCTAGCTCTGTAGCATTGACCTGCATGCAGTGTTTGTGTCTATCAGATTGGACTGTTTTACCATGCTTTCCAAAGAGTGTTGGAAAAGTTTTATATTTGTCCCTCTCCGTTGTCCCTTTTTCAGCAGCCTTGTTGATGTTGATATCTGTACAGACTCTGGCCCCTGCTGAGCTGTTCCATTAGCAGAGCCTGCTTAAACTGTTGTTGTGATGTGATGTCTGCTGTCTCACAGACTACAAAACGCTTAAAGTCAGGGAGAAGCTTTTATGGCCTTTGTGAACCCTGAACAATTTTGGTGCTGTACTGGTTCATAGCTGTGCTCCCCAAACTCAAGAGTGTCCTTTAAGTGCTATTTAAGGTTATAGCAGTAGCTTGTACAAGTCCTCTCCATAGTCATGAATTACACCTGCAGGAATGTGTCCAGAAGTTTTTCAGAAATGTTGGAAAACCTAATTAATGCATTTGGTGTCAGAGAAGAAGGTCTGGTACTGTGTGGGAGAGTGTTCATTCAAATAGACAACCACGGCACAAATTACTGCAGAAATACCTTGAATTACATAGATAATCCAAAATGGTTGCAGAAACAAATACCTTGTGTCAATAAAAAGAATGTAGGTAATATCAGCCACCTGATATTAAATGAAGTCTGTTGCTTCATTTAATACATTTTGACATTAACTTCCTTATGAGCTTTTTGAATCCTGCCTGTCCAGTCCTAACACTGGAGTTTGGGATATTTGCAGTACAGTGAAAGGGCATTTTGTCACGTGGCCTGGGATAAAATGTTGTTATTGCTTTAAGAGTTACAGTGGATTTATGTCCAGCTACCAAAAAAAAAAAAAAAAAAAGAGAAAAAAGAAAGGTGGCAAACTGCAAGCATGCTCACTTTGATTTAAAGAGCAGTAATTTTAAGGTGATAATTTTATGAGTATGTGGTAAAACATAATATATTATCTGAAATTAAAAAAACAATATAAAAAACTCCAAGCACAACTCAGTAACAGGATGGTGGCTGTAGGGGTGAGATACCAGTTCATTTAATAATACAGTCTCTTTGTTCATCTGTCAATCAGAACATCAAGTGGCCACAAGAGAACCTGACTTCTATACAATAATACTTACAGCATTTCATCTGCCATTTCTCCAGAGACAGACTTGCCTGAAAAACAGCTTTTGGAGATGGGGAAGCTGGTTGCAATACAATAATTACATTCTGAAAAGCTTTCGAAAAAAGAGATTTAGTGAATTTGAATGGGAGTAGTGGCAGAGGTTCATAAGTATTTTTAAGTATAACAAACAGGTTTATATGTAAGTTGTCTTACAATTTAGAGTCACTGTCAAAGGAGATCTCCCTTGAATGTCCATAAAGAGAAAATTATTTAGTTGGATTTTGCCCTCATGGGAAAATATACCGGGAAAATTATAGGGAAAATATAAAGTCTCAAGACAAAGCATTTACAGGTCAAGAAGGATTAGAGCCAAGTGTTTAGCCAAACTCTTAGTTCTCCAGCCAAGGTCAGAGAACAAGACAGTCCTTATCCATGTGATTTTGTTTGATAGTTGTGTTGTTGCACTATGTAATGAGGTGAATGAAGCCTGTGATGCTCTAGAAAGGAAGATTTCTGCTCTATTCCTTCCATACAAGGAACTGAGGTCATCAGGGGCTTTCAAACATGGGTGTTAAAAGAGAAACTTTCCATTTAAGTCTTTTTTTCCCTCCTGCATTTTCTTAAATTATGATCACTTTGTGTTTTAAATTTGGCAGACAAAATGATCAATAGATTGAGGGAAATAAAGTTCTTCCAGCTGTCTTCTGAAAGGCTTATTTCACACCTTGATGCTGTCTGTAGTTCTC